CACAAGTCTCGAGGGAGAAGACGGACAAATACCACTCAGCGCTCTGTACTCAGCATTTGAAAAGGAAATCCGCGCTCGTTATCCTCTCGAAAGATATCCGTACGCCACAGATGTCACCAAAAGCCATACTCTGGCGAGGAAACCTTCAGGAGCCCTTGGCCGATCTAAATCGGTATCGGGGACTTCGCGGGCAGAGGCCGGCTTAAAGATTCAGAGGAAGAGTATGGACCTGTCGATGACAGAACTAGGACGAGCCAAAAGTCTTGTTGTAAAGAAGTGGTCATCGCCTCTGGTATCGATGCGTAACGGACTACCAAGCGATGGAAGCCGCCAAACCGGGAAAAAGACATGGGCCAAAGACGGACAGAAAGCAAAAGTTGATAAAGGCCGGACAACCATAACGATCACGCCCGCCGAACTCACTGCCCTTGCCATAATCTTCGGGAGCGAACCGAAGCGCAATGTCGACAAGACTGTTTTAGTCTCAGAGATGGGCGCCTACAACATCTCGATCGTCCCCGTACAAACAGGCGGATCAAAGTACCACATTACCCTCCAGCAAACCAAGCGCAACAAAAGCCAGTGGCACGCTCAAGACTCCGGCGTCTCCCCACTCTTCGCAAAACACCTCGCCGCCGGCTCCATCCCTTTCGCCCAAGACGCCCAAAACACCCACAGCATCCTCATCACCCCCTCAACCCTCGAAGCCATCCAGGCAGGCTCCCCCCTCACCAGCCACGCCATCACAAACTCTACAAAGCAAACCACCTTACTCTCCTCCCTACCCTCCTCTCTGCCCCCAAGATTCTACACACTCACACCCTCAACCTCCCTCCAACCCCCCACCACCCTCCTCAACGCCATCGCCGCCCTACCCTTCTCCCGCGGCCTCACGCCCCTCGCCTCGACCCCCCTCATAGAAACCGTCTCCTTCATCGCCGCCGGCGGCATCGCCCCAGGCAAACTCCTCCCCCGCCTCGAAGCCCTCGTCGCCAAACTGCACCGCCACTCCCCACACCTCTCTCTCTTCGGCGCCCTCTACGAACAACGCAACGCAAAAGCCCTCCATCGCGAGCGCGAGCGCCTGCGCCGCCTCGGCGTCGACCCCACGACTCCAGACTCGCGCGGTGACAAGGCCGCACGCATGTCGCGGTACGTGGCGCTGCTGGAGCGCTTGATGGCCTTGGTGCCGGATATGAAGCCCAGCGAGGTACTGAAGAAGGTTGAGGAGGGGGTGAAGAGTGAGATTGCGGATGCGTATGCTAGGGCTACGGGTACCGGTACATCGAGGGCTGGTTCTACTGCTCCGAACAACGCTATTGCTACGGCGACTGCTGCGCAGCCGGCTGCGCAGCTCGCTGTGCCGGCACCAAAGTCAGAGAGTCCGGAGCGAAGGCTCCGACGGAGGTCTAATCGCTTGAGTTTTGTTTCGCGTGCTTCGTCGGGATCGAGTGTGAGTTTTGGGACTGACGATGGTGTTGGAGGGGATCTGGGCAAGCAAGTTGAGCGCGTGCTCAAGGCGGAGTTGCCGTTGGATATTCGCACCGTGGCGTTTGTGGCGCGCATGGTGATTGTGGCGTGGACTTTGAGTGTGGATGCTGTAGCATTTGAAGGCGAAGGGGCAGAGAGCGAAGAAGGTGACTACAAGATTCCTGATTTCACTGGCTGGGATAGGATCGTCATGTCGTAAAGGACTCTTCTTTCCTTTGTTTACTTTTCCATTTTTTTTCATTGTGTTACTACTAAGATACCATTCATACCCTACTTTTTCCTTTTTCCTTTGGGGTGGAATATTATCGCTACAACATACATAGTAGTACTGAAATATCATCGCTGCAACCTAGAAGTAAACTAGGCCATTATCCCTACTTCGCCTAGGCATCCTACACTTCCATCACTTGTCACATACCCCTCTCCCTCTCCTTTTTCTTCGTATGCAAAATCAAAACTCTAATTTTTTTTCGTCCGCATATTAGTCCGTCTCTTTTCACAATCCTGAAATATACGCGGCATCTTGATACAGACAAGAAAAGATGACAAGATGACAAGATGACAAGACTACACGGGACCCGGATACAGAGGTGTCCCGTGATAGTTCCGGGGGACCCGGACTATCACACGGTTCGGTAAAGAGGGTTGTTGAGGATTCCGGGTCTCTTGTTCGTGAACACGACAGGACACGAAGCAACGGTTGTAAGACAAAGAAAGTCGGGAGATAAACGCGTGATTCATGTAATATGTAGGTAGTAATATTACCTGTTGGCTACATACAGCAATATATTAGCAATTCAGAAGCACATGAAAACTATGCAAAACCTCTATAATTGTATATATAGTATGTCCCTAATCCTCTTCCCCTATCTATATGTAACAGAAAACCAACCCTATTCTGGCCCCATAACCTCCAACCCCTTGCAAACCCCTACCCAGGGATCTCTCAAACTCTCCCACACAACCTCCATGCTCTCTTCCTCCAGCCCGTCCCGCTTACGTTCCCTCCTCTCAATCCGATCTCCCGTCCCGTCCGCCATCATAGCGGTAATACGGTCACGCTTGCTAGTTCTCTCACTAAGTAGTGTACTATTTGTTTTTAGACCTTTACCATCAAGTTCACCCTTGACTTCCCAGCCTCTGCGGACGGGACCATGGATTGTGGCGGGGGTGATGAGGGTGCTGTCGAGTAAGGCGTTCCAGCGGGAGAGGTAGATGCCTGGGCCATGAGTTGTGCCTTTGCCATTTTGTGATGAGGAAGCTGTTGGTCGCATGATTGATTCTAGACGAGTTTGCGATGTTGATTTGAGCGTTGTGAGGTGCTCTTCGTGCTTGTCGAGGAGCTCTTTTAGCTCGTCTTGCTTTTCCTTGCTTAGAGTCTCGAATATAGAGTGTAGCGGCGCCGTCATATTTCCTGCACCACCCTCGCCTCGTTCTTCGGCCTCTAATGCACGCTGGTCGACTCGGAATTCGGAGAATATGCGCTTAGCGTACACTAGGAAGTCCTGCCCAAGATCCGGTGCGTTCTTGGTGACCTGGTGTAGGAACTTGTGCATCGAAGGCGCGTGCCTCTTAAGCAATTGTACAAACTCCTCCACTGTAGGAGCGTCACTTGGCTCTTGATCCAAGATACTAGCTGGATCTGGTGAGCTTGGACGCGATTTGGAAGCCTCGCGGCTTCTGTAGCCACCGCCCTTCTTCTTGGGTTTGGCCGTCTTGATCAGATCTGTAATAAATGCCTCGGCATCAGTGACGGTGCCGGACAGATCAACAGCGTTGTGGATGGCCCGGATGACGGGATCCATGCCTGCAACGGCGTCGCGAATTGTAGAAGTCAAGACGTCAGGGTTGGATTTACAAAGAACCTTTGTGAGTTCCTCGCGGTCTCGAATAGAGAGATATGTGCTGAAGTACTCCATGGCCACACTGTGTTGGTGCTCGTTGAGCGATTCGGCATCAATCTTGTACGGTGGGTCAGACGTCTCAAGAATGACTGCCACAATCGACTTGGATTCCGAAATTGACTGGCTTCGCGCAGCTTCATGCTTCCCTCTCGGTCCGTATACAAACGTCTTGATTGCTTTGAAACCCCTCTTATCCGGAGCATTGCGCGATGCCTCGAGTTTAGTTGCCCGCTTCTGAAACTCCGATGTATCCCATGCTAGCACTGTAGAAATGATTTGTTGTAAAAGGTTCATACCGTCGTTCGTGTTATTCGTAAGACCTATCCAGTTAGTCATAGCTGTCACAGACAACTTTGCCAGGACCAGCCTGACCATGCCGTTAATCATGGTAGCGGCATTGCCAACGCGCAGTGTTTGCTTGACTACGGTATATGGAATGAGGCGGTGCAGATTCTCGAGGAGGCGAACAAGGTACTGGCCGTCGGGTGACATGATGAAGACATGGTGGAGGAAAGAGGCAGCACTGATGCTGTTAGAGGTAGTACGAATATGCCGTGCGAGTACTCACTTCAGCAGCATATACTCATGCGCTGCTTGTAGACTACTCGAATGGTCTTCGAGCCTCGAAGTCGCCTTGACCTTCTCATACAGTTCATCGAGAGCATTGCCGTAAATCGACTCGTGTACCAGCTCTTCAAAACCCTGAATGACGTCCTCAGGTTTGCTGGTGTCATACTCTTTCTTGCTTTCTTTCTGCTTCCTCGAGTAACCTCCGAGCATGCCCCTCGCAACGTACTCAGCAATACTACTTGCAGCCGTTGCGAGCGCTTTCCTGCTACCAATAGCGCCCTTGTCGTAACTCTCGCTCAGTTCGGCTTCGGCCATTTTTGCGACTAGTGTCTGGATCTTTTCAGACCACCACGCCTCTCCAAAGTTCCTGATGGCGGGGTTGCACAGCGCAAACTTGTTGAGCATGTTCTGCAGCAACGGGCTCGTCGACTGCACGCCGTCGGCTTTGCGAAACGGGTAGCCATACTGGTCGATGGTCGAGGGGTATTTGAAGGCTTCAATCTCGGCGTAGACCTGGTGGTGGATCAGGATATCAAAGAGAGCGTGTGTCTGGGCGGGGGTGAGGGGTTGGGTTGTCGACATGGTTGCGGGAGGTGTATGACACCAGGCTCAGAAACGTAGAACAAATCCATACCTGGTCGAAGACGAGGATTGACACGGATGCGCCGACGACACGCGGGGTACGTCATCTTGCCTGCAGGCTTGGCAGATTAGCGACACGATCCGCTACTACGTAGATCTTGGACCCCGCGTGTTAGTTTTGGACCTATTAATATCGCAAGAGATGTAAGGATTTGGGTTGAATTCCTTACAAAACCACTGCTAAAATATAGGAATAGGTGCTCTTACCTGATATTCGCTCACTATACAGCAACATGAACACACAGCTAGGGTATACTATAAAGACATATTACGCTGCCCTTTGACAAGCATAGCAATAGTAATCAAGGAAATGAAATTAAGGTCTATAATAAGAGAAAAGCATCCGAAGTATCCTCAACCTCTTCTTTTCCACTCAGCCCGTCCTCGTCAAGTCTACAACCTCGCCATCTTTTTGTCTCCCACTCCCACCAAGAACCCCCCAAAATACCCGTCAAGCCTCTCTCCAGCAGACCCATCCAATGCCAAAACCATACCCACCCATCCATCGGGCCTTAAGACAAATATACCACCTTTTTCCTTATCAACCCCATACCTTGAAACTGCACTGTCATCCTCATCATAAAACACACGCCCAAACGGCATCATACCACCCAACGCCTCATACGCAGACGATACACCCCGTCCAGAAACAACCGTAATCCACGACACCGGCACTTCACCACCACTCACCCACGCTGCTCTCCCCACCGCTCCCGCAAACTCCCCAAGCCTCTCCCTCTTCCCCTCCACCTCCCCCGTAAAAACCAACACATAAAACCCCGCAAAATTCGGCGTCTGAGCCAGCAATCGCGTCCCTTCCCACGTCCCCGGCTTAGTGAGCTTAACATCCGGTGCCCTCTGCCCCGCCTGCACTGCCCTCGACACAGACGCCATGTCCTCGGTACAAGTACCAACATTCAAATACCCATCTTGCTCATAAAAAATGCCTAATCCACTACTAAACCCCGCTGCCTCCGCCATAACAGTACCGAGAACCTCATTCGGATCCGCATCCGGATTCCCCTTCCACCCCTCGGGCAACTGCATCGTCATAAGCCGTGAAATATCCTTGTCGTAATTAATCAAGCGCTGTACATTGGGTAGACGCTCTGCTTCATACGAGTTCAGGAGGCCGGGATAAGCAATACCCTTTAATACAAGCGATAACTTCCAAGCTAGGTTGACGGCATCGTGGATCCCAGTGTTCATGCCTTGAGCTGCCCCGCTGCTGTGCGTGTGGCATGCGTCACCGACTAGAAAGATGCAGTCGTGCACGAAGAAGGAGCGGGCGATGCGTTGGCCTACTACGTAGATGGTCCACCAGTCTACTTGTTTGAAGTGGATGGAGAACGGTTTTACGGCTTCAATGGCTTCCTTTTCAGCGGCCTCCTGAGTGAATTCAGCATAAGCTTTTTGGCGCGCGCTCGTAAAGGCAAAGCCGATGCGTGTGGCACCGCGGTCGAGGGGTGCCCAAAGCACGTTACCGTGTGTTGGGCTTTCAATGGCGCAGTAGGTACGGGGTTTGGGGTGGTTTGTTTCGAGGACGCCGTCGATGCGAATCCATTTGTCTTCAGTCGAGGTGCCGTCGAAGGGGATGTTGAGGGTGCGACGGACAAAGGATTTGCCTCCGTCGGCGCCGATTAGGTACCGGCATTTTACTATGCTTTGGTCTTTTGTTTCGCTGTGCTCGATTGTGGCTAGGATTCTATATCCGCCGGGATTGACGTCTTGTAGTACCTGGATATCGACCAGTGTGTACGGTGCTTGCAGCTCGACGCCTTCTTTCTTCATTGCAGTCCGGAATACATCTTCTTGATACTTTTGCCGCAATACCAGCGCAAAGTCCCAATTCGTATCTTTCATGTTTTGCATAAATGCCCAGCCTCTACCCTCAACTTCATTGCCATGTCGATCGTAATTGGCCGTCTCACGGCAGGCGAAGCATTGCTGGGCGAGAGAGTCTGCAAGGCCAAGTTGCTCGAGCATCTCTGAGCTGCGGGGGAAGAGGGTAATGGCGCGGCCATACTGATCTTGCGATGATTTAACATGCTTCTCAATGATTTTGATTCGGTATTCTGAACGGTCAAGGTTGCGTGCAAGTTGATACGCGGTAATGAGACCTGGTTGACAATGTTAGAGACATTGTCATCAAAACGGAGGGCTATCTACATACCGGCTGGTCCCCCGCCTATCACCAGCACGTCAACGTGCTCTACGGGTACCTCGGGGCTTGTCATTATACTTAATTATGGTAGTCTCCAGCTTCCAATCACTACCAAGAGCCGTCTCAGATTTAAGCACAAGCATGTTCAAAGGAAACAAGCTATATTAGTCGTGGACAAGTTACAATTGGACCGGAGGACATGCGGGCTATCTGACACTTGATAGGTATCCCCAAAAGCGATTGCATTCTTTTAGTCATCGTGTCCACGCGATGATACGTCGCACGACAGATGCCTGCATGCGAAGGAAGCAAGAACGGGGTATGACGCGAGCCGTATCAGTGTCTGATAAGATAAGCCGGTTGGATGAGCCGAGGTGACAGTGATCGACCAAGTCCGTCAATCAGGAAGGAGGTAGTATTGGCCGTGTATCAAGGTTCAATCTTGCTCTCGATCAAAACTTCTTTTTAGATTCATCTACATACTACATCTCTTGTACAAATTTCAGGTCGAGGCTATCACTTCACCAACCAACCAATCTACAGCTTCGCATCTAGTCAACCCAAATAGCCGTTTGCACTCAGCCACTCCCGCACGACCTTCTCGTCTCGTGCAGCATAGGCAGCATAACTGCGGATAGTATCATCCACAACCTCAAGACCCTTGTTGTAACCTCTGGTATCCTTGTCGGAGAAGAACTTCTGAATGTCGTCCGCGACAGCAGCATCAGTAAACTTGTTCAGACCAAATCTCAGGAAGCGCTCTAGCACAACTGGGTTTCCAGAGAGTGCAGGGTGAACCTTGGAATCCCAGTTGTCGCGGATGTAGTGCCATACTTGTACGCGCACCTTCGAGTTGTTTGCAAGAGCAATGGTCGATGAGTGCTTGTCTTGCATAGCTACGGCGTCTGAGAAGACAAAGTCCATGACTTGTTTGGCAAGCTCAGGTGTTTGCACACGACCAAGTGAGCCTAGACAAATTTCCTTGCCGTCAATGGATGTTGTGTTGAGGTATTCATTCTGCACAGCCTTGAGCGCTGGCTCGCCACGGTTCTTGATGGCCGTAGAAAAGACAGCGCGGCGGAGCGAAGGGTGGATAGCCTTCTTGTCTCCACCAGAGACGTACGCGCCAAATTTCTTCAGCGCCTCATCAACGGTCGCCTGATGACCAACGATACCAGCGGATAGGAGCAGGCTAGCGCGCAGCTGGCCGACAAGGTAGCTCTCACCATCCTTGAACTCCCATCCAACCTTCTCGACAGCCGGTGTAATGAGCTTGAGGTGGTACTTCCTCAAAGCTTCACTGATATCCTCGCTACCGGAGAAAACGCTTCGGACGTTACCAATGTTGGTGAGAATTTGGGACCAGACAAGGTAGTCGGATTCGTCCTGGAAGCGCTCTGCTAGTGCGAGGAGGCCAGCAGTAGAGCCGTATCCAGCTACAGCATTGGCATATGCGTCACCAACAAGACCAATCTTGTCTTGTACAGTGAGCTGGTCGCGGGCTTCTCCGAGCTTCTTCAGGCGGTCCGGAGGGTAGTTAGTTCGGTAGAAACCAGTAAGGTTCTTGTTGAGCTGATAGAAACCTTGGCTGACATCTCGAACGGTGTCTTCCTTCTGTGTCAAGGCGGTGGTTTCGTGAACGGATGCTGTAGATGGTGAGTCACCAGTGTGAAGCCCCAGTGGGATCCACCAAGTAGTCTGGTCCTCTTCCGGCTTAACGTTGCCGGCAAGAAGGAAGCGTTGCTGGCGAAGTCCGATTTGGCCAGGCTCTTCGGCGACAGTGACAACAGGGAAACCTATCCTACGCACCCAGTGATCCATGAAGCTGTTGACATCCTGACCAGACGCCTTGCTCAGAGCAGACCATAGATCATTGGTGGTTGCATTGGAGTACTGGTGGGCCTTGAGGTAGTCGGCAACACCTTGCAAGAAGACCTTCTCACCAAGATGAGCACTCAGCATGCGAATGACGGAAGATCCCTTCAGGTAAGAAATGTGATCGAAAATCTGGTCAACCTCTAGGCCGTCGTATACAGGTACTTCAATGGGGTGAGAGGTGCGCAGAGCGTCAAGAGCGAAAGCTTGTTGCACGGAATCAGTCTGGGAAAATTGTCAGCAAGCTAGTAGAGTAGATACCTCGAGATTTATGACGTACGACAAACTGTCCCCAGACATTCCACTCTGACCTTTTCGTTAGCGTAAATTCTAGGACTTCATAAAGAGGGTCATACCTGGATAAAGGTGGTCAATAGCAAGCCATCCGACCCAGGTAGCAAAACCCTCGTTGAGCCACAGCTCGCTCCACCAGTCCATGGTGACAAGGTTGCCGAACCACTGGTGAGCAAGCTCGTGAGCTACAACATAGGCTACCCGGTTTCGGTAGCTGTCTGCGGAAGTCGCAGGGTCGAAAAGTACTGCGGTCGTTCTGAAGCTGTATTAGTAATAAATTCAAGTCATACAAATTCCTTAGACCTACCTGTAGGTGATGAGACCCCAGTTCTCCATGGCTCCGTGTGACTAGAAACCAAAGGTCAGCATTACGCAACTACGGAGGAGGGATTGCACGTATAATTGGCTGAAGAGTCAACGCAACGTTCGGTGCACCCCACGGTTTTACTTACAAATTCATGAACAGCCAGCAGGTCGACCTTGGGAAGAGGATAATCAATCTGGAAGATTTCGGAGAAGTGGTCCACAATCTTGTGGCAGTTGTCCAAGGCGAAGCGTCCCTGCTCCTTCAGACCGCGAGTCGTGTAGACCCTGACTGGAATGTTCTTGCCGTTGTACTTGCGCTCGGTGAAAGCCTCAACGTACTCAAAGTCACCAATAGCCCATGCCAAGAGGTATGTCGACATGATGGGTGACCTCTCAAACGCAACAGTGTGGAAGCCATCCCGCTTGCTAGGCTTGATTTCCTTCTCGGGCATGTTGCTGAGCGCAACCTGGTCCTTGGGCACTTCGAGCTCGACGTCAAACGTAGCCTTGAGGTTGGGTTCGTCGAAACAAGGAAAGGCGCGGCGGGCGTCGCAAGCTTCGAACTGGGTGCTAAACATGTAGTGGAACTCGTCGTCCTTGGCTACAGACGCAGGGACTTCGCCCTTGGGCTTGTACTTGGAGCGGTAGAAACCAGCCATGACATTGTTGACAGCGCCCTGGAACTGGATCTCCAGCACAGTCTCACCAGTGTAGGTGATACTGTCTCCAAAGTTCAGCGTAACCTGCTGCCTCTTCTCATCGTAGCTGAAGTCTTTGGCAGGGTATGTCTTGTCGCCAGCCTTCAACTCGGCGCTCTTGAGCTTGAGCTGGTGTGCATTGAGAACAAGGGTGCTGAAGCCGTCATCCTTTGTAATCTTTGTGTTGATCTTGACGGTGCCATGGTAGCCGAACTTGCCGCCGAATTCGAGGTCGTAGAGGGAGAGGTCGTAGTGCGAGGGCTTGGCCCTATCAAACAATTGTCAGCTTCTCATGGTTCTGATAATGGGCGTAATGCAATGCAATTGACTAACCATGCTGGGAGGACATCGCGATCTGAAGCCATGTTTGCGAAGCTGCTAGTAACCTCGCTTTGACACAGCCTCTTTTGGATGCTGAACGCTACTGCAGACCGGGGACGTGGCCTCAATTGGGTGCGAGGGGTAGAGTAGAGCTGTTTGGTTGCGGATGAAAAGCTTCTGGAGCGCTCAAGGTGGGCTGAGCAAAGATAGGACGAAGTAAGAGATGAAAGTGGGCCCGTAAGCAGCAGACGCGGAGAGAGTTTGGTGTCGAGCCGGGCACGAACCAGATGTCGAGAGCAGAGTCTCGCAGATGCAGAGAGGGCAGCCAGCTTGGAGGGCAAAACGAGGGGCAAGATTACTCAAGAGCGGGTTTCAATGGCACAAGACGGCGCATGAGGACTGAGAGGGGAAGGTGGGCGTACGGCATGTCGGATGCCCCACCTCTCAAGACGATCCCTGCGGCGGCGTGTTTAGCGCGGGGTGCTTGAGATGCATCTGCTAGTACGCATCCATCGATATAGCTGAGTGCGAGAGTGTCTATTATCTCGACATGTGACATGCGCGTCATTGACTGCGCTGGTACGGCTGGGTGGAGGCGTTCCAGAAAATGTCCTCCGCCACCACCCCTAGCCAGGCAGGTGAACCCTCGCCATTGTTGCCCTTCTGTTTCCCTATGCTGCACTCATTCATACATCATGTGCAGACGCGACTCAGGAAAATGGTAGTAAATGGTAGTTTTGTATCGTGGCAATCCCTGTTACGCCATGCAAATGCTTCACTTCCACGCCCAGTCATGCAGTGATGTCTTTTCCACGCCGACCAAGCTGTCTGACCATAAAACGCCGCACAAATACTTGCATTTCTACACGTAGGCTGCCACGTGCTGCACTTCTCTTTGCTCAGACTCGGATGAGCACATCAAGACATTGAATCCGCCATTCCTTCTTCCCCAGCAATCCCTTGACCCACTCGTAACTCTGCGCGTCGCTCGCCTGGCCCAGTCCAATCTTTCCCTTGACTCCTTCCACCGCAGCCTTGACCACGACCTGTGCTGTGTGGTTCGCAGCCTGTGCCAGTACTCCAGCTGTTTCTGATGCAGTGCCATTAAGCGCCAGCTCCGCGCTATCCGACAGCGGCGCATCAAACCATGGCGTGTGGAAGTCGAAGAGCGCAACGACAAGAATGAAAAGGAGCAGCGAGCAATACACGCACGGTCGGTTCAGGAAGTACGTAGCCGATATGAAGAGGACAAGGTAGACGGGAGACGCCTGAGTTCGCAGTCTAGCCACGACAGTCAGTATGTGCACAGCGCCGCCGTCAAGAGGGGGCGACAAGACGCCTGACTTACAAGAAGAAAAGCACTGGTATCCAGCTTCGCAGACAAAACATTGTTGCGTCTTCAAGATGAGGGCAGAGTCGATTGCCAGGCGCGCACGCGCGCTATGTTGTTAGAGGGCGTGGAGTCGCCTTCGCGAGTCGCTTGAGATGCGGAGCAGCGGTCTACGGGAAGGTGGCAGTCGAGACACTTGACGCTCTGCTTTCTTATCACTAAGCAACGATAGTGGCGAATATGTAGCCGGTGGAAGACGTGTGGTGAAGGCAAAACAGCGAGTGGGAATATTAATACGGGGTATGAGGGCAAAACAGGGCGGACAGACTGCCAGTGAGATGAAATCGTGCTGAGTTGCTGGCGGCGGGCTAGGGTCGGTTGATGGACGAGCCCTCCCGCCGCCGTCGCTGAATGGCGCTTGCATGCATACAGGTATGCACTGCCTCACGTGCTTCAGCCTTGTCGTCAACTAGATTCTGTGACGCGACATTACCCTGATACATGCGCGTTTCGTCCGTTTCTAACAACAGTAAACTTGTCGGGATACGAGAATGCTCATAGCAATGGTTTTGCTTACATATTCGTCCGCAGTGTGCAGCGGGTCGGACTTGGCAGTCTCGTATATCACGTGCCTCGACCAGCTACATAGTAGATCAACATGTTTCATTGCCAAGTCTCAATATACAGTCATTGGTATCTTGATGAGAGCTCCATATAGCCCATTGTCTTACGTCACCCAACGTGCACAACACCCATCTAGGCAACTCCCGTGCACCTTTCCTAATCCATTTGCATCCTCGTCCATTCACCAAAATGCCCAGAAAACGCCTCCCTAAGTAGATATGCCAGTACAGGAAGCCAAAGTGACGCCGTGTTCGGCCGCCGGCAGCAGAAAGAGAGCAGCGCTCATCGTGAGTTCGTCTATACGGGCAAGTTGAACTTCTTGCCTTGGATGACCCTGGTAACCATTGGTTAGTCATCTGACCACTCGCTCACCAAAACTGGACAACTTACTTTGTGTAGTAGATGTAGAAGAAATCAGAGTACAGGATGGTTTGAATGATACCCGCAATCACGGCAATGGGGTCGTAGAACTTGGGTACTTCAAAGAAGTAGCGGTAGATCCAGTTGGGAATGTACAGCGCTCTGTACGCGCCGAGTGCAAAAAGATAGTGCGTTGTAATTGTCTCCGCCTCGCCAGTCCGCTGAAGCATAAAGAGCTGCGGCAGGATCGCGACCGACTCTAGCCAGATAGAGAAAGCCCAGAGAATCTGTATGCTTGGTTAACACCACTCCTTGGCGGTACCTGGACATGCCATACCTCGGAAAATGTGTACTTGTACGGAAACAAAACAGCCAATACAGCGCTAGCTCCCAGAAGATACTGAACTTTAAACGTGTCTAAATTCGGGTCGTGGGTCGGCTTGTAATCGTTGAGCATCAGGTAGACGGTGTAGGCAGACGTGCTGATGAAGATGATTTTAAACACGGTCAAGTAGAGGGACTTTGGCTCGTAAAAGGTCCATAGCAGGTCGACGTAGCGCGTAAGATAGACGATCAGGTAGAGGAATTGCGACTTGAATGAGATACCAGAGGCGCTCTAAGAACACGTTAGCTCGAATATTTGCGCGAGACAGTAGACAATTCAGCGTACACTCGACGATTTCATCTTGTGCAGAAGAATTAAGATGGAGAGTAAGTGGGATAAATCCCCTGCGCGAAGTCAGCAATGCCATAATCCTCCAGCGGGCGTCGTCTTGGTCGCGACGGCCCTCACTCTCCAATTCTGCGTACCCAAAAGTCGGAAAGGATTCATCGTGGCGGCGGGCGTGTCGCTGGGCGCTTCTAGGAAAGCAGCAAATGTTTGGCGACAAGAGGTGGTGTGAGTGTGGAGATTCGCACTTTCTCACATAAAAAGACACGTTCCGACAGCTCTCTGTACGTAAGGACGGATGGAGCTACGTAGCCCTTGCCTGCCAAGCCCGACCCCTGCCAGGAACGTCACCTCTGATCGTCGCCGCTCCCGCAGTGGTTCGCATACCCAACGCCCACCCTTCCACGGTACATCTGCGGCCATTTTTGTCTTATCAATTATACATGCCCGAGAGGCTTCTGCGCACAGGAAGTCAGTCAATACGTGGAGTACCAGCGTTGTTTGCCTTGAACGCAGCTGGAGTCTGACACAGTTGCTATGATTCAAACCGTCCATAGATCCCTGCACAAGTGATCCAAGCTAGCTCTCACACGTCTGGAGGGCCCAGAAATAGCACAACCACTTCCAGCCCTGCGTTGCCATGGCCTACCTGCTAGGATGGAAAGATATCCTCCGGCCAATTCGTGATGGATACCGCCATCTGTTCCCTGCACCAGACACAGGGCCAACGCCTGAGGAGAGACGCAAACAACGCGATCTGGATCGGCTCAAAGGCTTCGCTTACTTCGACACGTTTGATCAACTAGAAGCATGGACAGAAGATGATTGTGACTCCTTTCAAAGAGCCAACACACCACGCATACGAACGGAGGATAGGAGCACAAACGAAGGCCTCGGCAAAGCAGATGTTCTCTTGATCCATGATTACTCCGGAAACTACCATGATTATGAGAGCGTACAGGCGACCGGTGTCAACGCGGAGCTCTATTCCTGTGAATACCTTCAATTTGTTGATGTCTTCATCTACTTCTCACACAAGCTTGTCTGTGTGCCTCCGCCAACGTGGACGAATACCCTTCATCGCAACGGCGTCGAGGTTCTAGGTACACTCTTAGTTGAGCCACAGACTGAGGGTTCTGAGCGTCTCCTGCAACACACACGTGACGGCCAAAATATGGATTTTCCCTTGGCAAAAACGTTAGCAAGAATGGCTTCGTATTATGGCTTCGACGGCTGGCTTGTGAACATTGAAAAACGATTTCCGAATAATGTCTGGGACCTCGAAATTCTTGAAGCCTTCCTTTGCCAGCTGAGAGCCGAAATGGGCAGTACAATGAGGCTTATATGGTAAGCACAAACTCCGTCTTTTCCACGTCATTGGGACAGTATAACGGTGTTTTAGGTACGATGCTCTTACGATTTCGAACAAGATATCGTACCAGAATGCGCTGAACACGTCCAACATCAAGTTCGCATCGGCCTGTGGAAGTATACTCACAAACTACTGCTGGAAAGATACTGAGGCTGAAAACTCGCTACAGCTTGCTCTGTCAAGCAAAATCTCGCCCAGAAACATTTTCTTCGGTATTGATGTGTGGGCGCAGAATAAATCCAGTTTCACTCACCCACGTGTTACTTATCCAGAATATGGGGGAGGAGGCACGAACACTGGTGTTGCTGTGGCGAAACTCGCCGACCTAGGGCTGTCAGCAGGCATATTTGCCCCAGCATGGTCCTTTGAGCATTTTCCTGGAAAAGGGCGCGACGCTGAACGTACAGTCTGGCAAGGAATCTCACTTCCACGTGACATGGACTGTTCTTGCGGAGATTGCTTGTCGCGTCATCAACCTAATGAGGCTCTTGCAGTCCTCAAGTATGCCAAAGAGCGTGTGTCTGGTTCGGAAAACTTCTTCTACACTGATTTCACGCGCGCTTTTGCGACGCATGACGATGCATCGAACGATCTATTCGACGGCTGTAGTATCCATGCACAACTAGGTAGTCAGTCTATTCTTCCGCGTCCAGCCATTTTCGGAGACAGACATCAAGCTGTTGGGCTTTGGCACCGTCTGGACAACAGCTCAAGAACTTCACGCTTGGTAATCGAGGCCATGCAATATCAGTCGAATAGTGATGCCACGACGGAAGTCTGTCTTCCGCTATTCAAACTCGACATGCCCGCAGATGGATATTTACAAGCTGAGATATACAGCAACAATGTGTCATTGCCAGCTGACCAAAGTATTGTCACCCTTTATATTCGAACCACAGACTCTGTTCAGCTTTTCACCATCACACTCGAGAAAGGAATTCAGCGAACAGTATGCCCACTGAAGTCTTTGGTGCCTGGCGCTCGCATCCAAGAGCTTGGGATTCATTTGAAAGGCTCAATCGATACTGCTCTAGGCAAGACCCTGCATTTGATGAACATCACGAGTGTCCGGATTATGCCCATTTCTACTTTTCAAATGTCGTCTTTATTCTCTATTGACCAAATACAGCTGGAAAAGCGAGGTGAAGGAGATTGTGCGCGCGTGCAGCTGGTTTGGAACTTTAAAGACCATGGTAGAACTAACTATAAGGACAACGGAATTCCCTGTAGCAACATCACAGGGCCTTTCTCATATTTTGTCATTTACATGGACGGAAGAATGATTGGTAAAGCATATGCACTGGAGCATATTCTAAAAAAACGATTCGTTGAGAAGAATGCAGGATCGACTGTGGAACTTGAGCTTGTTGGGGTAGGCTTCGACGGACAAACACTCGCGAAGAGCAGCGCCAAGCTGCTTCTACCTTAAGCTGACAGAGCTTCAACATTTAACTATTTCGTAAAATGCGCTCAAGTGTATGTCTAAACACTGGGTGGTTGGGCTAAGAATGGACTAGTGTGGCAACGACGTCATCGACTACGAGATACTTTTCCCGCGTCGCATTTCAGCCTGTCGTGTATTACACCACTGGATAATGAGAGTGCTCGCTCAAAGATTAGCGAGGTTGCCTCATACATTGCCTCGGGTTTATTATCAGCTACATCCGTCTGCACTTGTCTTCACAGCACCGCAAGCCCGACAGCTTCATGCGTCCGCATTCACGATGAGCCCTTTGAAGCGTAAACATGAAAAAGAAACGTCACCCCCTAAATCGAAGAAACCAAAGGTTGAGATACCTGCTTACCACCTTGCTCAATCGAGACAAGATGAGAGTGGTGAGATAGTTTGGCCCGCCAGGCGCGAACAAATCGAACGTGCGCGGACGATTATCAAAGAGTGGTAAGCTACAATTTCTTAAAGTCTCGTCTATCATTTACTAACAGTCTACAGTGCTATCGCTCAGAAGTCCACTGTCATAATGCCAGACAAGGATGCAGACGGCCTGTCCTCGGGTGCAATATTGTACCATACACTCACTACTCTTGGTTTATCATCTGATCATATATCGGTGTACTTTCCTCCAAAAGGCTCCAACGTCCATGATGAAAGTACAAAGGAAGCTCTTGCCGCTCTATCGCCAGTGTATATCTTTGTTCTTGACCAAGGTAGCAGAAAGAGCCCGCCACTGGTCGACTTCCCACATACATGTCTCATTATAGATCATCATTTTGCAGATGAAGGGGGGTTCCCAGAAGGTGCCGAGTATGTCACGGCTCATGACTGTCCTCCTGTCGCAACAAGTGCCCTCTTGACATACAATATCTGCCTGCCATTGCATGCCGACTCAAACAATAAGGTCTCCTGGCTTGCAGCACTGGGTACCCACGGCGACCTAGGAGGCACCATCAAGTGGGAGCCACCATTTCCAGATATGAAGGCCACTTTCAAACAACACACGAAGAAGGCGATCAACGACGCCGTAGCCTTGGTCAACGCGCCGAGACGGTCGGCAGCTTATAATGTTGAGGATGCGTGGGCTGCAGTGCTCTCTGCAGAAAGTCCTGGCGCAATTGTCAAAGACGAGAAACTTCGTAACGCATCTTTGGAGGTACGACGTGAAACCGAGCGCTGCACGCATACACCGCCCACGTTCTCCGCGGACGCTACCATTGCCCTACTGTCGATATCCTCGGCTGCGCAGATTCATCCCGTCATCGCGACCCGCTGGTCAGGCACTCTAAGGTCAAACAAGCTAGAGATTGTAATGTGTGCGAACGAGGGCTATCTTCCAGACAGAGTCAATTTCTCATGTCGAGTTGCTAAATGTGCGCGGGCGAGGGAAGGGGAGGAGAAGATTGACATCATCAAGAAGCTTGAGGGCATTGTTGCTGGTGACAAAGACCTGAGAGCAAGACTGGGAGAGAGCTTTGCAAGAGGGCACAAAGAGGCTAGTGGTGGTATTGTGGGAAAGCAAGAGTGGGAAGATTTCAAGAAATTGATGGGCGTGGGGGAGCGTACGAAGAAGACGGAACCTGCCACTAGGAAGGAGAAGCCAACACAGAAAAACACACTTGCCAACTACTTTGGCAAGTCCGCAAAGGCATAGAGAGCATAGACAAGGTCACGTTTCGCCTCGATCGTACAGCACGATAGATTGACGCCGCCGTCGCCACCGTTGTACTGAAGAGGCGCCAATGAAACCCGGGACACGACTAAGGGGTTGCAGCAGCAGGTAGGAATGCGAAAATATTCAATCTAATCCGGTCGCACCAGAAATGAAAGCCTCCGCTAATGACGTTCTTTTGCATCTTCGACTTGTTCGCGAACCGGCGTGTCGGCCTCGAAGCCGGACGATCTCGCCTAGGCGTTGAAAACCAGAGGCGACCAATGGTGCTATAGTGGCTTTGTTATGTTTCGAATATGGATGAGGTGGGTCTAGTGGGCGCTGCATGTCTAGGATGTTGACTTACCCAATCGACACGCTCCGTTTTGTCGACTACAATAAGTTGACAGAAGAAGACTGCGCATAGAGCCTCCAAGGCTTGGGTGTCCTGGCATCAATGAAAAATCAGATTACATCGCTTACCCGGTGTCTTCCATCGCCGCAACGGTGTCGTCCAAATGACCATGCCTAATAAATCCAGCCTCATATTGCGGGGCGCCACTGCATCCGAAACGACGCCGGTTGATGCAACACCCGACCAAAAAACGAATGCCGTGCCCAATCAGGCAAATTCCGGGGCTTGGAATGCTGCATCGGCGAATAGTAAACATGGGTGTAAATTGAGTGCTGATGAGCACGCGCTTCCTGACAGGTGCCAAGAAAGCTTGGTTGGAGCGATGCAATCTACATGTGTGACAAACAATGGATTAGAGCCACAAGTCACGCAGAATCAGGGATTGACGAGATACTCAGTGGAGTAGTGCTACTGGTATGACGGCCCGGGACAAAACCGTTGCTGTTAGATTGCTCGGTGTCAGCCAGCAAGATGGGGCGTTCAGCAGCATGAGGAATAAATAAGAGCAGCCTTCTGCCTTGAAGTTGAACAGCACGACACAGACAATCACTTTCAAACACTCTCACATCAACTCTTCATCGCAATCATGAAGTACTCCACCATCTTCCTCGCTGCTGCGACCACCGCCTCTGCCCACTCGACATGGCAGCAACTGTGGGTTGGAAGCACCGACAAGGCGACCAGCTGCACGCGCACTGTCAAGGATAACAGCCCTATCGACAGCCTGTCTTCATCCGACATGTTCTGTGGTCGTGGTCCTGCTGCCTCATCCGGTGTCTGCGAAGTTGCTGGTAAGTCTCCATATCCCCAAATCTCCATTCCACCCTTGGTACTATGCAATAGACAATGGCTAACACTAGACCCAGCCGGTACTTCCCTCACCGTTGAGATGCACGCTCAGCCCGGCGCGCGCTCCTGCTCGCAGCCTGCCATCGGCGGCAACCACTACGGCCCGGTCCTTATCTACATGGCCAAGGTCAGCGATGCCAAAACCGCCACCTCTGGCTCTTTCTTCAAGGTCGCCGAGGACGGATACACTGGTACCACCGCCTCATGGGGAACTGAGATCCTCAACGCAAACTGCGGCAAGCGCTCTTTCACTGTTCCCAAGAGCCTTGCTGCTGGTGACTACCTCGTCCGCGCCGAGGCTATTGCGCTGCACGCCGGTGCTGGAAGCCCTCAGCCCTACGTCAGCTGCTTCCAGGTCAAGGTTACTGGAGGAGGCAGTGCCACGCCCTCTGGTGTCAGCTTCCCGGGTGCCTACAAGATCAGCGACCCACTCTTCTCAAAGGCCATCTACGACTCGAGCTTCAAGTACGTCAGCCCTGGCCCTGCTGTCTACTCTGGTTAAGAGACTTGAATACCACAAACGATTCTGAACGAAAGAGACGGGGAGATTATGGTGGCTTGGTGATTTAAGATTTTTACACAACGGGCTAGAGATTCTTTGTACATAAAACTTCTTGGAACTCCATATTGCTTGGACCATTTTTTTACATACCACATATATACCATTTGAAATGGGAAATAACCTTCTTCTTCTCACTTCCCTCTCTTGCCTCCCTAACCTCCCTCCTTTTTTTTCTTTTCCTCTAGTAAACCCCCTTTGCAACTTTCTCATCATACGCCAACACGGCATCAAGCAGCACCTGCGCCCCCAACGCACAATGCTCAGGACTCGTATACTCCTCAGGATTATGACTAACCCCATCTCTACTCGGCACAAAAATCATACTGGTAGGTACCACGCGACTCGTCCACGCGCTATCGTGGCCCGCTCTACTCATCATACTCATAACCTGGTCTTCACCCACCAGTCGCACCGCCGCTTCCCGTACAGCCTCGATGCAATGCGGATGGAACTTTGATTCTGGGAGACCCCAAGTCCGCTGCACTTTGTAAGCCGTGCCATTTGTTTCCTCTGCGATGATTTTGTCGAAAGCTGCGAAGATGGCGGTGGAAAGCTGTGTCACCTGCGAATCGGTGGAACATCTTATATCGATTATGAAATCGACGCCTGCGGGGATCGTGGCTTGGGATGCGGTGTCGCTTTTTATGACGCCGACGGTTGCAACGCCGAGTTCGGTGTGGAGGGCTGTGTCGCGGACGGCGGTGATGAGGCGCGAGGCCGTCACGAGTGCATCTGAGCGGTCGGGCATGGGGGTTGTACCTGAATGGCCTTCTTTTCCCAGCACGCGGATGGCGTACCACTGCATTCCCTGGACGGTTTCAACGACGCCGACGGTTTTTCCGGCGCGCTCGAGTAGGGGGCCTTGCTCGATGTGGAGTTCGAAGTGGCAGTGGAGCGGGTTGTCGAGGTGGGAGCAGGGTGTTTCGCCGAGATAGTTTATACTTTGCAGTGCTTCTTTCATGGTTATACCGTCGGTGTCGAGGATGGACCAGCAGGCCGAGAGGGGGGTGCTGGAGTGCTGGCTCCAGACGCCCGAGGACATCATTGCGCCAGGGAACCGGGCGCCTTCTTCGTTGGTCCAGTTTATCAAGGCCAGGGGACAGTGGGTTGAGATGTTGTTTTCGTGGAGGGTGCGGAGGACTTCGAGGGCGGCTTGGACGCCTAGGATGCCGTCGTATCTGGGGTTGAGTTAATGAGTTTAGTAGAGCTGGAGTTCGATATGGTATTGTGCCAGTACCTCCCGCCTGCAGGCTGTGTATCCATATGACTACCCATACCAATTGGTTTCTTGTCCTTGGCAGTGCCTTCACGAATTGCAAAAATATTTCCCATTTGGTCAACTTTGATTTCGCATCCCAAGCTCTTGCACTCTGCCACTAGCCAGTCTCGCGCGGCTCCATCTTCTGGGGTGAGAGTGAGACGACACATGCCCGTTGAAGGGGCTGCAAGAGCGCCATATTGTGTGCAAGTATCTTGCAGTGTACTGTTTAGTCTATCTCCATTGATCTTGAGAGAACTTGAAGTCATTCTGACGACTTTAATGCAAACTTTGGTGCTTCAATGATGCTATAGCTTCAAAGGGGGTATATAAACAGTGGTCTAACTCTCTCCAACGCACATCCAGCCTAAAGACGTGTGTTTATTGGGTATGACAGAATTATATGACTGTACAGAGCTCCGCATAGTATGCTTACTTACTCCAACTCTACGTGTTCAGCCGCTGATAAGGTGTGGAGGAAAAAAGGTGGGGCAGATGTGAGTGAGGGGTTGAGATATGCACCTCACTATCTTGGACTAGTCTTCCTCCAACTACCACGATAGCCGACGACATGTATCTTCGAATGCCATTGTTCTCTCTGCTTCTCTTTCCATTTGATTCAAAGGATTGAGAAAGGTCGAGACACAATGGCAGCCGAATATGATTTGCTCGTCATCAATGGAGTAGTGGTTTCGGAAACAGATATCCAAGAGTTGGATATCGCCATCAGAGATGAGAAGATTGCAAAGGTAGTCCCAAGAGGGGGTCTGGGAGATGCCAAAGCAACAAAGATAATAGATGCCGAGGGGGGATACGTGATGCCAGGAGGTGTAGATGCACATGTCCATCTCCAAGAACCCCCATTATTCGGCCAGGGATCAACAGCAGACAACTACGAGACAGGCAGCCGATCAGCCGTATGCGGAGGCACAACAACCATGATCACATTTGCGCCTCAAAAAAAGACCGAAGACACCCTTCTCGACACCCTAGCCGCAACTCACGAACGGGCAAAAGACAACTGCTACATCGACTACTCCTTCCACATCATCGTCGGCAACCCCTCCCCAAAAGCCCTCTCAGAATTTCCCATCCTCCGCGCCGAAGGCATTTCCTCCCTCAAAATATACATGACCTACGAAGCCCTCCAACTCCACGACGGCCAAATCCTCGACATCCTCCTCCACGCCCGCACCCACTCCATCACCACCATGATCCACGCGGAAAACGGCCAAGTAATCGACTGGATGACCACACAGCTCGAAAAGCGCAAACTCTTCGCCCCAAAATACCACGGCTCCTCGCACCCACCCATGGCCGAAACAGAAGCCACCTACCGCGCAATCTCCCTCTCCGAATTCATGGACACGCCCATCCTAATCGTCCACGTCTCCACTCCCTCCGCAACCTCTCACATAAAATCCGCGCAAGACCGCAACCTACCAATCTACGCAGAAACCTGCCCGCAATACCTCTTCCTCACCTCGTCCTCGCTCTCGGCCCCAGGTTTCGAAGGCGCAAAATGCGTCTGCTCGCCTCCACCCCGCGCCAGCACCGCCGACTGCGACGCCATCTGGGACGGCCTCTCCAACGGCACCTTTACAATCCTCTCCTCGGACCACTGTCCCTTTCGCTACAACGACTCCGTTTCCGGCAAGAAAACCAGCATCTCCGAAGCCTACCCAGACGGTCACTTCAAATACATACCAAACGGCTGCCCAGGCATCGAAACACGGCTCGCACTCACCCTCAGCGCTGACCGCCTTCCCTTGCCGAAATTCGTACAACTAACGGCGGCAAATCCGGCGAAGCTATATGGACTTTACCCCAGAAAGGGTGCGTTGCAAGAGGGCGTGTCGGATGCGGATTTGGTAGTGTGGTATCCAGAGGGCATAATGAAGCCGTTTGAGCTCAGGAATGACATGTTGCATCATGATGTGGATTATACGCCGTTTGAAGGGAGGACCATGACGCAGTGGCCGCGGTGGACGGTGTTGAGGGGGAAGGTGGTGTGGGATAGGGAGCATGGCGGGTTAAAGGGTGAGAAGGGGTATGGTCGGTTTGTCAAAAGGGAGGCGAGTAGTCTTGCTAAGCCGAGGAATGAGGGTGAGTGGGTTTTGCCGTTGTAGTAGAGTGCTGGATGAGTGTGGTTCACAAGGGGGGGCAAAGGGGGGAGAACGTAATGCCAAGGTTCTTGTCTTGAGATGTTTTGTCATGTTTTCGTTTTGTTTTTTGTTTTTCAAGATTTCAAGATTTCAAGATTTCAAGTAGATGTAGATTGGTGGATTTGCCATGTACAATGTCCGAGGAGAATACATGTGTGATATTGATTTGGTGCAAGCATCAAAAGGTTTTGCATATATTGTATGTAGGGTTAGGCCTTTGGGCACAATGCAATGATCTCACATCTCCTCAAGATCCTCATCACCCATGTCAAGAGGCGGGAAATCGCCAGCTTCGCATCGCTCGGGCCGCACAAACACACCATAGTTGGGGCCACACTCAAAGTATCGCTTGCCCTTGACGGAACCATCATTCTTCCCCGTCGGCTCGTCAAGAGTGACCCCCACCCAGACACCTATGCCGGGGATCTCTGGGATCAACCCAATGTACGACACTGTGCCGCGGCGTGCATCCGACTCGGGTAGTAGACGAACACGACTCGATACAGATAGACCTAGTGAGATATGTCAGTGATCGCTCTTCGAGTATTGGTGTGGGTCAGTCAGTAAAGTGTATGTCCGGATTTGCTCATGAGTAGCGAAAATAAAAGTGGCCACCCCCTTGCTATGAAGCGGAGCCTAACTTAGTTTGAACCTCCAGCCTTGTGTACAGAGGAGCAAATGGTAGCGACGATAATCGAGCGACATGATTCCGAAGTGATTGACCTTTTGAGTCGCGCAGGTTCCAAGCCGCCAATCTGCCCCCCTCTGGTACACACACAGAGGAGTTGCTACATGTGAAGCGCCCGTTGTGAGGGGCGCTGAGACCTGAACGGGGGAGTATGGTCACAAACTGACAATGCACAGGCGGGACCGGCGGCATGTTCCAGCCGCGATGCGCTGCGGCGTTGATTGTCTAGACGCACAAGCGATATCCTCGCTCCAATACAAGCCTCAAGGCTGTAGCGCGCGATAATTGATACAGGCCCCGCCACCCGCCGACCACCATCACCATGTTGGTCCAGGCATTCAATTCCTCGTTGCAGGCGTGGCTTGCGGCAACCAAGTATCAAGTAAAGGAAGTTTGGAGCGTGAGGATGGTGACAGGTGGATTTATCATTGCATTTGAGTTTCGGGGAGCCTCGTTCCGATCCTTTAGCTCCCAGCGGGACGGGAAGCGAGGCGAGGCGAGAGTGATAAAGCGAGAGATATAAACGATCCCCCGAGGCAACCGAAACCTGCAATACTCGATTGCCAGTTTACTATTGTCGATTGGACGTGTGCAGACGCTGTCGCAGATGGCATTGGGCCCCTGGCCAAAGGGGGCCCAGGGTGTCATGCAGGCTACTGAAAAGAGTATATTTTGTACGACCGGTTCGGTGAGACGGCATCAGGTCTAGAAAGTGCTTGTCTGACATGCTTACTTCCTTGTCGATGCTTCATGACTGGATGAAACCTGCTGACATGATGTCTGTGGCGAGGCCTTGGACTCGGATCTGTGCAGCCGCGGCTTTGGGAACCGTTTGAGCCATGTACATTACGCGTGGAGTAATGGTGTACGAGTAGGTTGAACCAGAGCAATACCCGCAATTGTCAATTGGCCCCAGAGTTGCTTTTTTTTTACTAGAACACAGCCACCACTGTCGTACGAGTACGTGGCCCTAGAGCTGCAAAGGAGACGGTTAGGCTTACCTCTCTCTTCTACTTCACGCTCAGAGGCGCGGATCTTTTGTTGTTCTATGCTGGGAGCGTTTGGATCAAATCGCCCAAGCTTTTGAGCCTTCTTCCATGCAAGAACACTATCGGTCCGATGCTCGTACTCTGCCACCGGCATCTCATACTTCTCAACGGCGGACAGGTCATTGAAGTCTGTACGTGCAGCGGGTGGACGCGTATCTACAACCTAGAGATTGCATGTCAACACGAGAGGCCATGTACGGGCACTGATTTGTTGGCAGAGGCCTGTCAGAAGAACTATGGAGCTGAACGGTCTGTGCAGGGGTTGTGTCGTGAGGCAAGATGAAGTGTCAAATAGGACCGAGGCGCCGAGCAAAAGAAAAAAGGAGACCAAATGGGCAAGAGAATAACAAGGTGCGCAATTGGAGTCAGGAGACGCACTGCTCAGTACATCCCAACGGCTCCGTGCTCACAAGTGGGCAGACGACGGCGGAGGAGCCGAAGGATGGATTTTCCCGCGACTGCCAGGCTGACAAAGATAGAGTGTGTGCATTGCGGGGCAGGGCAGGATATGCGGCCACACGCAAGAGCGAATAGGAAGAGAGAAGACACAGTACATGCACGTACCGAGTAAGTAGAGCAGTTTCAAGGGGAGTAGGGAGCCAAGCCGGGGGGGGGGGAGAGGAATGGCAAGGAGATGTGGCAGACGGCGAGAGGACAGCATACCAAACGGGTCAAGGACAGGGCTGGCAGTGGCTATGCAATGAGAATGAGAAGAAGGACTTACGGCGATCTCGGCATACGGCTGCAGCGGGAAGGCAACAAGCTGGGTATGCTCTTCATCTGCAGCAACGAGGGCAACGGGGTCCTGTGATGCAACCCGTAGAGACAACTGCTGACAGCCTGCGGGAATGCCGGTAATGGGCTCGAGACGTGTCTTGAGATGGGCAATCGTCCACGAGGGGGAGATTCGACGCTCAGAGGACGAGTTGGGGGAGCTAATGAGAAGCGGCACGTCTGCCGCGCTTTGAAGAGACATGATGGCCAGCAACAGCGAGCTAGGCAGGCGGGCGGGCGAGAGTGCAGGAGTTAGTAGAGCGAGATGAGGAGCGAGGGGAGCGCCAATGGTGAGTGGCGGGCGAGGCTAGAAGCGGTTATGCGACAGCAAGCAGCAACCGCAGTGGGGGAATGGATGACTTGTCTGGTCCTGACAGGTGACCCGCTGGTAATGCGGGCTGGGGGTGGGTGAGTTGGAGTGGTGCAAGAAAGAGGCATTGGATAGGGCTGGGGGGCGTGCAGGACGGCCGGATTGGGCATGTGAAGCGAGCGCCAAGGCCCACGACTCCAACTCGAGTGAATGTCTCTGAACACATGACGAACGCCCGTTGCCCACGCCGACCCCACGCGCTCATATCACTGCTCTCGTTGCCGTGGGAGCTGCAGCGACGATCCCGCGCCATGCGTTGGCAATGTCTCTGCGCGGGTCACTCGGTCCAAGAGGCGCTGCTGTGCAGTCGAGGAACGCGCGCCAATGCTCGTCGGCTCCGATTGCCTGGCCGAAGCCATGGCTCATTCAGCCAAGGCAGAACCATATTGCGCCGGCTGTGTTTTACGGACGGACGGGCGTCGAGGGCAGAGGCGCCGGCGTCTTGTATGTACTAAGTACTCACATTGGTACATGTACTATGTGATAAATGGAGCTGGTGAGAAGAAAGCAGCCGGCCCTTGCACTCGGCTCACCGCTCTCCCCTGTTATTGTGCCCATGCCCGAGTTGTCCAAGTATGCTTGTGTGTAGTATGTAAGTACATATATATATATATATATATATAGACAGACGAGGTTAGGATTGTGCTGCGCCGACAGATTGACGTGTTGCATCCGCATCGAGCCAAGAAAGCGGCCAGCCAGACAAGACATGGCGGCTGTGACACGGCGTATATGTTCAGACATGGTTATCACTACTAGATGGGTGCTTGTCAAGCGTAGACACAAACTAACAGGGACGGCGGGTTATTAGAGAGCATGGCAGGCCCAGACTGTCATGGGCTTTTATTGTGGGAATCTGATTATGGCATGCCGGACCGGTGCAGGAAGGTATTGCAGCATCCGCCCGAGGGCAGAAGCGGGTGCTTCAAGTATGTCGCCGATGAAAAGCCCTTTTTTTCTCCTTTGACTCGAGCGTTCACGGACGCACGGGGACGCTGTTCATGGCTAATGCACGTCTAAGCCCGTCCCCAAGTGGCTGTGGCCGTGGCCGACAAGAGAGGGGGCGTGCTCTACTACCCATCAGTCTCCGCCAACCTCACAGTGGCCATCCGTGAATAGCAAACCAACAGCCTATGTGCATGCACGGCTCCAGACAGACCGACAGGCCTCACCGCTTAATGCGCATCATCCGAACCCTTGGCCTGGCAGCGAGGCAGTGATGCAATGGAGCATTTTGGGGGGGCGGCGCACGCAGATATGACCTGGCAGTGCGACGCCTCGTCGTCGTGGTCATCGCATCATGTTTGCACTGGACTGGACTGGACTGCACTGCACTGCACTGGCAAGGCGGCATGGCTGGATGAATGGATGGACGGATGTCGTCGTATAGTATGGTACATACACAACGTGGCTCCGTCATTCATGGGCACGAGACTTGAGCAGGACAGCACACACACAAGCAAGCGGGCAGGCCAGGTCGAATACGGGTCAGGCCGAAGCAACGACGGCTCCATCCAAGCTAGACGTCACGCCCATGGCATGGCCGGCAGTTCACCGCAGTTCACCGCTCCTCTGTGCATGCCATGGCATGCTTCTAGTGCATCGCCGGGCGCTCACAGCCCACAGTGGGGGGGCTTGACCGGAGCCGTCGAGGCAGATATTGCAGGGCGTGGAGCCACAGTGGCCGTTGGCAGCCCTCGGGCGTGAACACATCACCATGTATGCACCGCTACAATGAAGTCAGCCGTTCGCAAGGCTTCGGTAGCGACGCGTCTGGCGTCAGAGATAGCCGGAGCAGGGCGAGCATGCTGCAGATCTTCCATGTCATGGCGCTTGACCTCGTCCGAACCCGAACCGTCTGCGCGAATCCCTGAGGCTGTTCACCGCTTGTGTGTCGCCTTGATTCGCTGCCTTGGCCAGCGCTGCAGGAAACACGCCCCGGATGTTGCCATCTTGGTCGACGATCGTGGCCGTGACGGAGTGTGAGAGAGTGAGAGCAGAAAAAAAAGAGGAGCAGCACCGCCAGCACCCCTGCTATATCCTCCATGTTGCTCGTCTGCAAACGCCGCCCTCGCCGCCCTCG